CGGGGCGGGCGGGGTTCGGCGACCTCACGCTGATTCGCATCGCAGCCCCGCGGCACGTCCACTGCGTTCGCTGCGCTGCGCCTACTTATTGAGCCGCCCTTTGGCTACCGCAGCTTATGACGCGTGCCGGGTCCCCCGGCGAGGCCGCGGCGGAGAGCAGCTCCCACCGCCTCCCCCTCCTCTACCACCCCGCCGCCCTTCCAGGGCGGCTTTTGTCGCGTCAGTCGTGGCGCGGCGGGGTGCTTGGCGTCGGCGGCCGGCGGCCCGGAAGGGGAAGGCACGTTGGCGCCAAGCTGCACCCGCGCCCCGCGCTACGCCCTCCCCTCTCGCTCCCTCCCCTCACTCGGCCACCCTCGTTCCGCTCCCCGAACCGGCCTCCCCCCGAGGCTCCCCTTCTTCCCCACACTAACACGCTATGCCGTCGCCACGCTAAGCCAAAACACGCCCCCGGAGGCAGACAAATTTCTACAGTATACTCTATTTTGGAATGCGTGCATTTGACTCGCACCAGGCACTTTTTGCCAGCAGCAACGTCACCCTACCTTGACCAGCTTTGCATACAGTACCTTATCGACAAAACAAGGATGCACCAAGTCACCATCTTCGGTTCGCTATTAACATTCAGTCGTAAGGTCTTATGCGTCCATTGTAGTTAAGCACCCGATCCCGATGGCGAGGAACCGATGAGGTAACGATTTGGGCGGAGAGTGGGGCGGCGGGGCGGGTTGCTTCCCGGTCTCGTTACCAATATATCCTTCCTCGAGCTGGCCCGGTCCCTAGCTCTTCCGTTGGTCACGTGCTCAGCTCACGTGGTCCTGGAGCGTGGGTGGTTTACACCCCACACCTCAGGACTTGGGGGGGGGGGGAAATCTCTGGACAAGGACCGAGAGGTTCTGGTCGATAAGTCCGACTGGGCTATGCCGTAAGTGCACCTGGGGAGGCCCGGCTGGGCCCGGCCCATCCTGCATGGCCGTCTTTCTCTACAGTGCGCGTCTGCCTTCCTTTACAGGGCCTCGGCGCCGCGGCGCTGATTGCTGAGCTCCCCGGCGACCTGCACCATGTAGGCGGCCGACACGGGGGCTCGCAGACATGGGGCACGTAATCGTGACGGCTCGCTCCCTCGCCTGGCTGCTCCTCTCCGTCGTCGCCCTGATGGCCGTCCTGGGCGCGCTGGTCTCGCCGCGCTGGGTCGTGGCCCCGCCAGGTAAGCTGCGCTCCGCCCTGCTCCGTCCCGTTACACTGCATCCGGGGTGGATTCCACGGCCAGGCCGGATCAGTATCTGGACCTTACCATAATCCGGCGGTGTCGCCCCATTACCTCCCGGGGCATGTCTCCGTGGTCTCCGCCAGCCGAATGCCATGCCCCCGCCGGCCTGGTCGCGTACAGTACAATGTGCTCCACGCCATGCCGCTCCTGTTGCAGGTGACTCCGGCGCGGACTCCCTGGGCCTCTCGATGCGGTGCCGGCTCATGTCCAAGCAGGCCGGCTCTCAGCAGGCGCCCCCGCCGGCCGCCCCCGCGCCGCGCTCCCACTGCGGCCCGCTGCCCGTCGGCGTGTCCCCGGGGACGTGGACGGCCGCCCTGGTGCTCCTGGGCGCAGGGGCGGCGCTGGCCGCCCTGGCCGCGATGGCGGGCCTGCTGGCGTGCTGTGTGCACGCCGTTTGCGGCAAGAGCATCCTGGGTGTGTGTGGCGCGGTGCAGGCCGCGGCAGGGGTGCTGTACCTGCTGGGGCTCGCCCTGTTCGCCGGCGGCTGGGGCGCAGACCGCGTGCAACGGCTGTGCGGTCCGAACACCGCGCCCTTCTACCTTGACTCCTGCTCGCTGGGTGAGGGCGCGCTTTGCGATCCCCACGTTCGCTGCGTGTGCAGGCTAGCGGGCTCACCTTTAACCGTCCTGTTGCAGGCTGGGCGTCCTACAGCGCGGCCGCGGGTGCTCTCCTCACACTGGTGGTGGCGGTGCTCTCGGCCCCCGCGGATCGTGCGGCACGCAGCGACAAGGTTCAGGAGCGCATCTACCAGGGACACACCCTCGTCTGCATCGCCTGAACAGACCAAGAGCCGAGGAGAGCCAAAGTGTCAATTCGTCTACAGTACTGCTATTTATTTATTATATTGTCTATACCGAGTCACATTAAATCTTTTGATACGTTTTGTTAAAGGTGCTCACTTTTTTATTCTCATTTGTAACCTGGTCACAATGTGTGCAGTGCCCCGAGCCCGCTCCAGCCCACCCTCAAGCCTTGTTGTACAGGTGCGCCGGGCAGCGTACCGGTGGTCGGGTTGGTGGGGCAGGGCGGATGTCGCGGTCGACCGGTTGCATCTTTGCGCCAGGGCCGGGTCGTTGGGTCAGAACACCGGTGGTCGGTGGTCCAGGTGACGTTGGCAAACGGCTTGAGAGCCCGGGGCACACCACGACCCATGACAACCCACTCCACTTCACACCACTTTCGTTTGAATCATGGCTACTCACGCATAGAAAACGACGGATTGCGAGATCGTTCACTCTTAAGAGTGAAAACAATAATAGGTAGGAGAAACTAAAGCAGCAGGTTGGATAAATTCATGAGAATCTTATAAAATCGCATTAAAAATTTAATCACGAAAATAAATATTTGGGGCAGACGACATTGTAATCAGTTGAAACTGATAAATCCAACAGCGAAGATTCAAGTAAACTAGTTCAGCAAACTACATCAAAACAATTTTAACAATTTTAAGAAGAAAAGACAAGACATCTGCACCTTAAGGGCAGTAAATTTTAACTTTAAGACTTTGCAATTGACAAATATTTCTGCTTGGGGTAAAGTAAAATGAGATCTGTACAGGTTGAGGGACAGGCACTCAGAAAATACTGGTGTGATGTATACTTATTGATGAAGAGGTTCTTTCTGTTGGAATAGAGCACAACAGAACATTTCTGACCATTAAAAATAGATAACTGTTTTTGTCTCAAGGAATATCATGACACGTCACATCAGTTTTTTCCAGTGTGCCGGTATAACTTCAATGTACTTCAGACATATGAATAAGTCTTTTAAATTAAAGGGTGCCAGTACAACTAATTTATGAAGGGAAAAAATAGGATGGCCCCTTATTTCACAGCACTACAATAATATCTAGTAACTATTACAAAGATTTTGCATAACAGCAATACTTCAAAAATATTCAAATTACATCATTCTTACATGAGCAAGTCCACTACAATAAAAGCAGTCTCTTCTGAGATCAAGGCTGCACCTTTATAATAATGGCACTTGATTTCATAATAACGGGTAACTAATGATTAAGTCATTATTATAAAATTCAGATAATCTTAAAAAATCTAATCCCCTCAGTAAGTAGAGGTGCCACAAACAAATGATGCTGTAAATCTTACATGAACTAAGAAGTCTTTTATTACAGTAATATAATCACTTTCATTGTTTTACAGACCTTATGTTTATGGAATGTTGGCATACAAATTAATTTCAGTTTAATGGGCACCCATAAAAAAGCGGAAGATGACATGATATTACGGAGTATGGTGGGAAACATGGCATCTGTACATACGAATGACCAAATCTATCTTAAAATAGATTTTGTAGTGTCCAGTGTAGAACAAATGTGACCATGTTCACATGTACTAAGAATTATACTATATGGCACATTAATTTAATGAGTAGGGATCATGGAAGGATTTCAGCAAGGACCTATAAGCCTTAAAACAGTCAACTTAGCAAGCGCGGATTAAGGGGAGGCGGATTGTCCCCTCTTAGGTCCGCCTAAAAGGTAGGCGATTTGCGTCACAAAAACACTGAATGTAGGCAACCGACAGTGCATCGCCCCCTGTCAGCCGGACCTTAATCCGCGCCTACAACTTAGCAGCTTTTTATTCCTAGCATAATCAGAATTTGTTTCGCTAAATTCCTACAACTAGAATCAACATTAATACAAGAAACAATTTTTTTAAAAGTTGTAAGATTACAAATTTAACACATCTGCTGGAATAAAGAAAATTTTACTAGTTAGGCACATACAGATCATGTTCAATAGGTGTCATTTATAAAAGGGTGCAATTTGATGACACAGAGCCCACTCAAACTCACCCTTTAAAATCGTGAACGATGGAAAAATAATTATATAATTCTAAAACTAAATAGATCACAATGTTTCAAATTAGTTTTAAAGTTTTGAATTTAAATTATTCAAGAATGGGAAGCCATTACAGGTATAGATTTAGAAGTCAAAAGACAATATTGTAAAATATTATGCATAAACAGAATCCAAATTAAAACATAAAAATAATATTTGTCTAAGTTCACACCAAAAAAGGCTTTTGAACATCACCGGTGTTGAGATGCAGACGAGTGAAGAATCTCTAAATGAGATGGATCCAAAGAAAGCTGAGGAATCCCATACAACCCTGGTATTGGTATTTGTGTTTGTTGAAGGGAATGATGTAAAGACTGATGCAAGGACTGATGCAGATAAGGGTTAGTGTTCACGGATGATCCTGGAGCTGGGTTATAAAAATGTGTCCTTTCTCGTTCCCGTGACATTTGACCAAGAAGGATCTATGACAAAAGACAACAATGAATTAAGTCAATCAGACAGAAAAATAGTGGAAGAGGGATATTACTAAACAAACCTCTCTCTCAGTAGCATATTTAGATTCCCTGTCATCATCAAGACCAATATGCGCATGAACTGGTACACTTGGGTGTCCCAAATGTATAGCATGGCTTAGCGGATGGTGAGTGGAATGAGGTGAATGGACAGGTGGAGCTGAATATATCTGTAATATTAAAAAAAACAAAAAAAACGTTCATTTAGAAAATAGAATTTGATGAGAATTGCTGATAGATAGATTACAATTAAGCTGTACCTCATGATGAGATGACATTGAGTCATCCTCTTGAGAGTGGAGAGAATGCTGACTCATGGTATTTTCATGAAGGTAGATATGGTGTGGCTGATGATCAACAGTGGCAGCTTTATGAATCAAAGCTGTTGGTTGATGTTGCATTTGGGGCTCAGAACTTGGTGTGAGAGGAATCTCAGGTTGAGGTGGTGGATGTTCAAGAGAATCTGGAGATAGGCAAGATGACTGAACAGACATAGAATTGGAGACAATTTCAGTTGATGGCTGTTCTTGTTCCACAATAGTTGGTCTGTTCTGTCGACTTGTATTAACTCCATGTCTTCTTTTCATGTGTTTATTGTAGTTAGGCCAATTTGTGAAGTGATGTTGACATTCCACACATGAATAGGGTCTCTCTCCAGTATGTTGACGTCTATGAGTCTGAAAGATAGATAGATAATTATCAGATTGTTACATCACAAGTAGATGACAAAAATATATATACAGGAGTGGAATACTAACCGTCAAAACGCCTTTGAATCTGAAAGTTTTTCCACAAAATTCGCATGTAAAAGGCATAGCACCAGTATGAATACGATGATGTTCTCTTAGAGTTCCTCTTTCTCTAAACTGTCGTCCACAAACATCACACTGATGAGGTTTCACACCGGTGTGAATACTTCCATGCTTTCTAAGTTGTAATTCAGTCTTAAAACTGAAAGAAAAATTACAATTCAACATTAATTACAACAAAAAACTGCACATTGGGTGTGCTGTACATTTGTACCTACCTCTTGTCACACAATTGGCACGAGAAAGGTTTTACAGTACTATGAGTGAGAAGATGAGCATCCAGATTTCCTTTCTGTACAAATGATTTCCCACATTGGTCACAAGTATAATTACGAATACCAGTGTGAATACGTTTGTGAGTAACCAGGTTCGGTTTAGTTGAAAATCTGCAGAATTGTGTATTAAAACATAGTAAAACAACAAAACTAACAATTAAAAATAAAAGATACATAATAATAAAGTACCTTTTGTCACACTCATCACAAGCATACTTATTTTTAAGTTCATCAGGCAAATGGCAGCGAGAATGAACATATAAAGCACTCTGCTGCCTAAATGCTTTATTACAAACAGAGCATACATGGGGCTTCTTGTCAGAATGAATTGTGCGATGAGAATCCAGTCCTTTCTTACTGGAGAAACATTTTCCACATATTTCACACGTACTAGAAATATTAAAAAATATTTTCATTTTCTCATACATAGTAAAGGTATGGGTATAATAGAAAATAAAGGCCTAAGTGTTGAATTACTTACCAATAACGATCATTCTCCAGATGGCGACGGTAATGAGATAGAAACCCTGAATACTGTGCAACAACTTTAGAGCAGACATTACACATATATCTAGGAACTTGCTTGTGAATTTCAGAATGATGTTTACGTAATTCATCAATACTACTGAATTCCTGCAAGCCAAAGATAAGTTTTTCGTAGCATATATTGAGCAAAATATTTAACAAATGCCAGAAAAGACTCATGTCTTACCTGTGAGCAATCAGAACACGTCCACAAATAATCACCAAGGTCAACATCTATCTCTTTTTTCTTATGTTTGGACTTTCCTTTAAACTTAGGTTTCTCATTACTGGAGACATCAATTTCATCGTCGTCATCATCATCATCATGGTCACCAAATCCAGTATCATCAACATAGTCACTATCTGAATTTTTTGATCCATTATCACTAGTGTGCAATTGGTCATCCTTTCCATTTTTATCAGACACATTTATATCACTAGGCAAATCAGTTTTGGCATATTTTTCAGAACACTTTTTAGATTTCGGCTTGGGTTTTGCTTTTGCTTTAGCTTTGACGGATGAGCGTTTCTTTCTACTTTTTCGTTTTCGTCTCGTCTCATCATCTGAATCATCATCAGCAAATATTCTTGAAATTTCAGCTGCATCAAGATCCACATTTTCTAGGTCGACATCATCTTCCAAACAAACTCTGCTTACTCTAACGGGTAGTCTGCATTTCCTTTTAGAAGCACGGGAGCGTGGAGCTTCAGGTACAATATCTACAGAAACAAAACAAAAAAAATTGAGTGAGAAATTCTGTATGAGAATTTTTAGTGGAAAATTAACAAATAAATAAGAAAGTTGAGTGGGTTACCTTGTTCTTTGGGAGATGGTTCAGACTTTGAGTTGTCTTCCCTAACAACACATTCTAGAAACTTAGATGGATGGATGTCTTTTTGTTCGGCAGTCTGTGCAAAGATAAAAGTAATAAGAAAATGCTTCTTAAAGCAGTTCAGTAATATTGTGCTTGAGACAAAATAATCCTATTCTTAACCTGTTGCTGTTGTTGCTGCTGCTGTTCCTCCTGCTCTGATGGCTTCTCCTGTTCGAGTTTTGAATCATCTCTTACATCGGTCAGCACTTTACTTTTGTCAGGAACATCGGTTTTGATATCTTTAACATTTTTCTCTTCTTCCTTAACTGCAGATGATTCATTGAGCTTGGCAGTGTGCTCTACCAATAGTTTGAGACGATTTTGAGCTCTTGCACTGCTCTCAACGAAATCAGCACATTGATGCAACTTGCTACAGCACTCAAGACAAACAGATTTCGGCAAGGCGTCACCTGAACATAGCTGAAAAATTAAATAGCACGACAAATATATATTGTAGCAAACACAGTTCTAAGGTGGTTTACTTAAACAAAAGGAGACCTCCAAAAACGCAATAGAAAGTAATATTCCTAAAAGTAGTAACAATTATTGTAAATGCCCTCTCTAAAGTTAAGAATTGAGTAACACATCTAGAGGTTTGTCATTTTCAGAGCAGGACAAGTTCCCTTCCAATTAAAATATTCAACTCATAGACGAAGTTGAAGGGAAAGCAGCAAATTATTAAGTACAGTTAATTCAGTATTTTTTAGGAATTTTCGGCATCGTCTGGCGATTATAAACATTGCCTTGACCTAGGTTAGGCATGTGCCTAGAGCGGCAAAGATGCTACAAGTACGGAAATAACGAAACCAAAATATTCGGAGATCAGATAAAAGATAAAGTGGCGTCTCACCTCGATTTGAAGGCAACGTATAATTTTCTTCTCTAAACCAAACTTCTGACCTTCGTCACTGTAAATCCTAACAAATCCATCGACAAAAGTGTCCTTTTCAGTTGCACACAAACGACAAAGCTCCGTACTATCCATTACACTGCCGAGACAGTCGATGGAATAACACAGCACTAACACATTTGGTAATCACATGAAGCGAACTCAATCAGATTTAACAGAACTTCGTCAACAAATCTGAATTGAACGAAACAAACTTTGTTTGAACTTTTTCTGATATCTTTGTGATTGCCTGTTATGTTTTGTTTTCAGCAACAAACCGATGCGGCAATCATTGCCAACCGCACGTTACAAGGAACAACTATATTGTAAAAAAATATATAGAAAACATTGCATAATGAAATTTGGAAAATCATATTGTTCTTTGAAATTTTCTTTACGTACGTTGTTTCTTTATCGTGTGGTGCACGTCTTGCAGTCTCGAACTTGTACGTACTATGTTGGTAGCACTTTAAAAACATCCTTGCCGGCCGCGGGCATTTGAAAGAGACAAAGGATAGCCCATGCCTTAACTTTGTTACCGGACAAGGCATGCAAAAGAAAGGTAGGGGAAAGATAATCAGATTGAGTCTACAAACGCAAATCTTACAATCAACAAGGATTATGTTATTACTTTGAGCTTTCTAGTAAACTTGTGTCTGTGTGCCCTGCCCAATAATATTTCTTGTTGCAGCTAGGGACTATAGTGGTGATAATGAAGTGATTATGACGATAAAATATGCTCGTTGCGAACGAGTGTCATCAGCTAACCTGTTCTCGATTATTTATGTCATTGCTGAGTACGCATGTTGAGGCGCCAGGTAGCACCCGCCCGCACCACTTCCGTCCGAGCCTAGGGCCACCAGGGCCCCACGCACGCCCCACGGGCCGGGCCCGCCCCAGCCACCACTACCCCTACCACCACCACTTTCTCCAAGGTCGAGCTGTGCCCGGAAAGTTTCTTGGTAGGGTTGGAATGAAGCAATGGGCTGTAAACAGAGGGCCGAAGTATAAAATGCTCAGCGGGGAGTGGCCCGCCACAGTCCCGCGGGGTGCAGCGCTCTGTGAGTATCTTAAGGGTAGAGCATTCCCTGCCACCGTCTCGTGGTGTTTCTAGCGTTGACCCTGTCTTTGTGTGTGACAGGTGACGTGAATTGTGATGATGCTTCGACCGGTGTTCTCCCTCGCCCTCGTGGCCTGCGTGGCCACCCTGGCCGCAGCCCAGTCCCCGCTGCAGCCTGCTGGCCGCATACTGGAGCCGCCAGTGCCCTCCCTGTGCGCACAGAGTAAGTGATGACAGCCTGGCAGAATTAAGTAAGATTAAATTAAATGTCTTTTAAATGTGATTATTATTGTTATAAAAAAAGAAGCTCTTTGGAAACTAGAGTCACACAATTAATTATCTGAATCAAATGCATTAAGGGCAGGCACTACACTAGTGGTACATTCTATTAAAATAATTATGCTTTCTTTGCAGGAAAAATCCATGAGAAATTCAATGGGAAAGGTTATTACTTCTCTTGGAAAGACGCTTCAACTGCCAATACTGAAATGGACTGGCTGGGTGTGCGTAACTGGTGTCGCCAGCGGTGCATGGATTCTGTTTCAATTGAAACTAGTGTTGAGAATGAATACCTGAAGAGCCATCTGGTCAATGGTACATCTTCTTTACTTAAATTTGACAAATCAGTTGAAAATAATATTCAAAACAACAAGTTGTATCATAACTTTTCAAGATAAGATCATGCCTCTCATTGAGTCTTCTACATTTTTGTAGATAAAGTAAAATACATCTGGACATCTGGTCGCCTCTGTGACTTCAAGTCTTGTGAAGAGCGGCCTGATCTGAAGCCTCTCAACATCAATGGCTGGTTCTGGACTGCTGAGCTGAAGAAACTTGCACCGACCACTGACCGTGTCCAGAATGACTGGGGATACTCTGGCGGGTAAGCTATAATATGCAGATTGCAACAAACCACAATCACATCTTGATGTTAACACATTGAGTGCGGCGTGACCCACACCGTGGGTCCCAATAACAAGGCATTGCCTACCCCCGCCACACTCAACATGTTTTTTGATTCTTTCTAATGATTCCTTTCCATCTCTTACAGCATCAACAAACCTCAGCCAGACAACCGAGAACTGATCCAGGGTGGAGCTCCTGAGAATTGCCTGGCCATCCTCAACCAATTCTACAATGATGGAGTGCACTGGCATGATGTTGCTTGCCACCACAAGAAACCCTGGGTGTGTGAGGAAAGTGAATCCCTCATTAACTATGTACGTTTCACAAATCCTAACATTGGTGTTTGATTTTTTGGTCAATTACACTGTTAGTCAAAATGAGCTGGAGCAGTGATATTTAATTAATGATAAGCTATGTTCAAATGTAAAAATGTTAATAAATAAAATTAATTTATATAGTAATCATTCAATGTAGTCAGTCACAAGAAATGTAGATGAGGATTTTGAAAATACAAAGAATGTGAAGATTTCTCCACAATTAACATTGTGTATACACTACTTTTAATATCTCATTTGAGACACTTAAAGAACATGCAATTGTTGTTGATATCGGGGGTCTGCTTTGATGTCAATGTGACACCACACCATTTATATCATGATGACACCAAAGTAGGCCCCCAAAATTACAAAATGGACACTGGCCTCACTTTGATGTCATAATAACAAATCTATGTTCGTAAAGCAATTTCGGAACTCAGCAAAAAATTCTTATTTCAGATTAAAATTAATTCTTTAACCATTACTTCATATGTGCATTAATTCACATTGACTTATTTCTATCAAATAATCCTAACTTTTCTTCATTCACCAAATCTTCAGATCTTCCATCTTCTGAAATGATAGGTATAGCTGGCATCTCAGAGACCATCATAACTGTGTGTTGGGTAGCTGGTACAACTGGGGCAAATGAAGAGCGAAAAACACCTGATTCCTTTCCGACAGCCACAGCATTAGCAACTGCATCACTGCTTGCTGGAACCAAAGACCCTTGGGCAGAGCGAAGCCCACTCTCTTCCTGTAACAGATAGTAGTAGGTGCTTTATTGAGTGTGACTCTCAGCTGACATAAAATAATCGGAGGCAACAGTAGTTAACTTTTAAAAGTTATTGTCAAGTAGTTGGTCATGCAGCATACAAACATAAATTGCACAGAGAACGGGGAAAATTACCTTTTCATGCATATCCAAAGGGAAAGGTGGAATAAGCCTCTGAGATTTGTCATCAAAGACAGCCAATTTTTCTGGGACCAGTAAATCAATGTTGGTACTGTTTAGAGCAGTTCGTTGAAGGATTTGCAGCAGTTCATCACTATCCTCACAAATAAAAGGCATTCGATGCTTACAAGCAATGTCATGCCAATGAATACCATCATCATAAAGATTATTCAATATTGCAAGACATTCTTCCTCAGGTCCACCTTGGAAGTGTTCTCTATCATCTGGTTGTGGTCTCCCAAAACTGAAAATAAGAACAAATACTGTGAGATCTAAACAGTGATTTAGTTAGAACTTTCACTCCAATTCAGTGCTTAACGTACCCGCCATTATCACTCCAGTCACTGTCCAAGCGGTCTGTTGTGGCAGGCATCCTGGATAAAGATCCAGTCCAAAACCATCCATAGACACTTACTGGCTGTAAGTCAGGCCTCTCACATCCTTTAAAGTTACACTTGCGTCCACTTGTCCAAACATAATTTTGATTTGCTACAAAATAGAGATTTATCATTAAACATTTTGTCATGGGTCAAAATTAAGTAAAATAAACAATCTTACAAAACAATTTAAGTGTACCTTTTGATACACGTTCCTTTATAAAATCATTTTCTTCTTGACTTTCTAGACTCACTAGATCCATGCATCGAGCTCTACAAAACTCGCGTGCTTCTGTCCAGCCAAGTTGAAGACCGACTGTTTTTGGTTCTTCCCAAGTAAACAAATAGCCATGGCCATTATAAGTTTCATGAATCTTTCCTGGAAAACAAAAACTTTAAATGTAATTGTGGTTTTGTTTGAAATCAGTTTTTATGGACTTGCTGACACTTGCTGCACGAAACTTACTGTGAGCACATCTGGCAGGATTAGGTGACTTCGATGAGTAAAAGTTGACTTGAGGGGCAGTAAGAGCAGCTATTACACAACTAGCAAGCACCAATGGGAACAGCATGGTGGCTTGACTGGCACTGAGGAGACAGTCTTTGCCTTTGCCCTATATATCAGCTCTGCTGACAACAACTAATGGTGCTTTATTCTGAGTGGAAGTGAGTAATGACATCAGTCATCTGTGGTCCCAGGCTAGACAGCTACACTCTTATACAGAAGTTCTAGACAAGTAGGGACAATCACCCCAGACCTTGGCATTGTAATACTCTGTCAAGTTATTGACCCTTCAGTGATAAGGAGAGAATTCATGACCTTGGGGCACAGGAGAGAAAGAAATAAGGTAAAAAAGGGAGAGATAAAATGATAAGTGAGGCATGGGACAGAACTCAGAGATAACTGGAACAAGAAATGGTCATTAGGATTCCCCTAAGAGGGAGGGTGTCTTGGCATCACCAATCTTTAGTGGTTGGAGAGAGATATAAAGAGATACACTTAATAGAAAGAAAATAGTGAGACAAAAATATGTTGGTTTTGGCAATAGCACAAGTACTTGGATGAGGGAGATCAGAAGAGAAAATACATCAGCATGAAGCTTGAACTGAAACATCCATCCCCTTTTCTGTACTTTGAAGATTAGAGGTTGAAGATTAAGTGCTTGCCAACAGAAACGGCAAATTCATATCTGCCAAAGAATTGTCACCCTAAGAGGATCTGACTGAAATAAAATAAACAGAATAGTTCCAGTTAGTTAATTATGTATTTCAAATAATATCATGAATTGACCATTCAGCTTCACAAATATTAAGAAGAAAGGGAAATATGTTGTACAACAGTTCCAACCAAAGCAGCAGCTTCAGAAATTGTATTATCACAAAAAAGAGTTAAAGAAATGTTTGAATTATTTCTTACCCTCAACCATAATTATATGATACCCAAATTTAGTCTTGATAGGAGGATCTGTATAGATAGGACTGTTTAAATTGGAAATCGGAAGTGCAAAAGCTGCCTCTTGAAAAGGTCCTACCATTGCGCCACGTATTTGCCATCCTAAATCGCCCTGAAGGGATGTAAAATGAATAGAAATAATGAATAGGCTTATTTTATTTCAGAAAAAAATAATTTGAAATGAATCAAATGACGTACCCCCTGTCTTGCTTTGTCTTCACTGTACTGAGTAGCAACTTCTTGGAATTTCATGCCTCCTTTTAGTTTCTCCATAGCTTCAAGAATTTTGGACTGTTTCTCACACAAAATATGTCGAACCTAGAGGAATAGAACAGATAAGGATAGGATACACCCCGGTTAGTATAACACGATACAGTAGAAAGTGAAATAAGGGGGCACATAACAGCTTTTCAGGAGCAACTCAAACCTTGACAGCATTTCCTCCTTTCTTTTCCTTGCCGCCTTTGTCACTATCGTCTTTCGCAGACTTGGCAGCTCCCTTACTCTTCTCACCGCCCTTTTTGGGGGGCATGATGTTCTAATCAGGACAAGTACTGAATAATTTTCACTCAAAGTGTGGTGTTTACGAATCAACCACAGGCAACCTAACCTCTTTTGATAAAATATAGCAGCGTTGCCAATATGAGGAGTTGTACACGGAAATTAAAGGGGGGGGGAGGGGGGGTCGTCACACAACAGAAAAGCTCGAGCTTTCAGTCTAGATTCTAGATACTAGAAGATAAAATTATTGCAAACATTGAAAAGGAGAGAGTGATCACAACATTTATTGAGAAGATGAAATCTTACAAGTCATTTGTAGAGTGAAAGCACGGTTATAAGTCGTAATCTCACTTCAACTCGACTATTAACTGATCCTAAAACTGTTTCAGAAACGTATAGCCTGTTGCACATTAAATTTTAGCACAAAACTGTGAGAAAATGGACGCTGACCCGGTGCAGTGCTGGATTTCTTTTTCAGAAAGTAAATAACTATTGCATAGTGAGATTTTAGTTTCTCCTACTGCTTGGACAAAACCGCGCCTAAGTTCGTAGTTCGCGCCAGTTTTTCACAGAAAGAAACGCGAAAAATGATTGGCTTAAAGTCGATAAACATTCCAGTGAATGTCAACCCCAAAGACAAACTACGCTGTGGTACGGCCGAGGAAGACATAATCAAAGCAATCCGAAAAAATTTAACGCGATGAAGTGAACGACAGTTTCACAAATATTGAGACACTGAAATATTGAAATCTATGATTTTGATTAATCCCATCAATAATGAAATGGTCGAGGCTTACTTACCTAGCTATGAATCCTTATGTCTTTAATCTTTGACTTTTAGCCACGCTCTTTTCAAAGAATGTTCGGAAGATACTACAGTCGTGTTGTCGGACAAGCCCTTAACGAATACCTGTTAATTTATGTTAAAATTCAACGAATCGGCGTAATTATTAAGAAAATGTACTAAGAAGTTCTCATATTGAATAAAGAGCTAAGATAAATTTAAATTAACCCGCTAAAATGTATCTTCGATGTTAAGCGCTGGTCATATTCTTTGACTTACCAACAGGCAACAAGAAGCGTGTGGAATGGAAACCAAGATGGCCTCTGTGATCAGTCTTTGTTGAATTTTAATATTGAATCGAGTTATACCAAACAAATCCGAGTAATTAAATTATTGCGATTAGTAAGTTAGATTCCTTATATTTCACATATCGAAATTTTTACATGGGTGTAGTCTATCACTTCCGTGAGATCGTCGTCTCAACCCTAAAATCCGCCCTGTGTACACAGTGGTGTATATTTTCAGTTTTTGAGGAAATTCCTTCGCAATATCACAGAAACTTTCCATCTATCTTCACTCTTTTTTTGAGTAATATTCTTTTTATTTAAATTGAATGTAGTAATTTATCTTAAAGTCGCCTTGAGCGTTATTTTGCCGGATTGCAAAGAGTTCCTCTTAACCTCACTTCACTGGCGGGGTATTGTAATTTTTTTTCTTAATAGCTCGCAGATGGTTTAATTTCGCGTAAACAGTGTTCTGTTTTCGCGCAATTTCACCGTCTATCTATTATTCACGGACTCTTTTGACTAATAAAATTTCTTGATTTGGTTCTCTTCCTTATGATGGGGCTGCATTCAACTACTGGTTTGACCCTCAGTTTCTCAGATTTAAAAACTAAAACAATTCTGAGGCACAGTGAAACATTGTATTTTAATGTACAATTTAATTCGAGTTCGTGAATTTTTTAGAGAAATTGCTGTTGATTACGATGGTTATGGTTTCATTTTGTGTCACTTTGAAGATCTTTTTGAGATGTACAGCTTTCAATTAGTATTTTCAGTACAACGGGTAGTTAAGAATCAGACCTATTGTCTTAAATGGAGCTGTTGTGAATTTACAGATTCATCAATTCATCATGAAAGCCTTGTATTTGCTCGTCTGACAGCAGGCTTTAGGCTCTGTTGGCCCAAGCTTGCATATAATGCAGCAATTGTAAGCCGTGACTAAAATCTGTTATTATGGCCAACTTTATTAATGCCAGTTTGACTGATGTACAACAAATGGTTGTTATGCCAACTGAGGAGGCGGCTGCAGTTGGCCAAAATTTTCCTCAACAGCAGCCGCCTCCCCAACAGCATGTTGTGCAAAAGACGGCTTATCACCCACAACAGTAAGTGTATGAGGTTTTAAAATGTTGTTTACTTAGTAAGAAATTTATTTCTTGAGTCCTGCAGTGGCAGTGGAAAATTCTATAGTGGAGAATCATATTAAATTCTCAGAAGAGCACTGTTATTTTTTGTTTTGTTTTTTTAATAATTTTTAATGAGGTATTAAGTCTCCTCAAGCTTAAATATGTTATTTTTTGTTGCAACTGTAACATTTACATAATTTAAACAAGATGAATTTGCCAACCAATTTTTTAAAAAGGTATTTATTTTTTTCAGGATTGTCCTTGTCACAAATCAGGAAACAGGTAATGACTAGTCCTTAAAAATATCAAACCTTGATTGGTAATATTGGACATTTCTCAAAATCTGTGGTTATCTTAATTGTATTACTTCTATTTTACAGTTAAAGGTGAACCAAATATTAGTGTTAAAAAATCTCCATCAACCTTGCAAACACAGACTGTGCAGCAAGAATTTCCTCCACTATATATAAATCAACAGCAGCTGCAACAGCTGCAACAGCTTCAGCTGCAATCAGGAAAGTTAATATTTAGGGCAGTGGCGCCACAGCACATGGCTCTTCAGACAAAGCAGGCAAATCAAGTACAATTGCAATCAACAGCTGTGCAGCAATTAACATCTAATCAAACTGTAGTATCAAGTCCACAAGTCATTACTACTCTCCAATCTGACAGTCAGACTGTTATTCAGAGAACCCCCCTGCAGACTCCTCCCCGACTAGCACAGCAGTCACAAATTTTACAAGTGAAAGCTCAAACACCCCCTTTGTTGAGAACAACTCCATCCCCTCAACGACCTGTTCTTGTTAGTATTCGTGGGGCACATGGGCAGTCATCTCAACAACAGTTGCTGCAGTCCCAGCTCCAGATGGCCAAGTCTCCAACGCCTGGTTTGTTGCGGAGGCCACAGAATTCTCCAAAGACCCCTCAGAGTGTTCCATTGAAACAAAGTGATCACAGTGGTATGAATCAACGAACTATTTCACCATTGACTGCTGTACAATCAGTTCAGACAGTGCAATCTGTTCAGACTCTACGACCAGTTCAGACTGTGCGATCAGTTCAGTCTGTGCAGTCAGTTCAGACTGTGCAATCAGTGCAGCAGGTTTTACCAGCGCAACAGGTGCATCAGGTTTCACCAGCGCAACAAGTACAGCAGGTTTCACCAGCGCAACAAGTGCAGCAGGTTTTACCAGCGCAACAAAAACAGCAAGTTTTACCCGTGCAACAGGTGAAACAAGTTTTACCAGCCCAACAATTGCAGCAGGTTTCACCAGTGCAACAAGTGCAGCAGGTTTCACCAGCCCAAAAAGTGCAGCAGGTTTCATCTGGACAACAAATGCAGCAGGTTTTACCAGTGCCACAAGTGCAAGAAGCTTATGAAATACAACAAGGACAAGTGTTACAGGTGCAGCAAGTACAAGGTCATCACTTACAAAAGGCACAGATGATCACAGATCAGAGTCCATTGCGCCATCAAAATGGAGGTATAGGTCTTGAAACTGAAGTTGTAGAAACTGCGCCTATTGAAAGAGATGTTGCTAAGGTGGCCTCGCCAAGGATAGTAACACCACCAGTTATGAAGTCTCAGCTACCCACTAATAGGAAAGAAGAGACCAGAATTATTGTTACATCTCCACAGGTTGTAGCAAAAAGCAAAGTTGGTCAAAGACAAAGCCAAAATTCTACCCTTTCAAAGGGTCAGGTTCAATTTATGATGAAGCAAACCGTTAATACTAATCCATCATCAGTTGTTTCTCAACAAAACTCTCCTCAAGTGCAATCTGCACAGCCACCAATAAGAATTCTAAAATTGGCACCAAACAGCCAATATCAGTTAGTGCAACAGTTTCAAATACCTGGACAGCCACAGCAATTTCAGGTTCATAATATGCAAATCCAACTTCAACCTCAGATTCTGCAAGTGCCAACTAGTACTGTGCAGCAACAACCTCAGCAAGCTCAAGTACCCCATGGTGATACACAGCATCTTGAAGTAGAGGCACAGGCTCAGCAGCAAAACCACCTTCCATCTCAACAGCAGCCCGTACAGATCCAGCATCAGCAAATTCAACTACAACCCCATCAGCAGCCACAGCAGCAGCAAGTCCAACGTCAGCCTCAAGTAGTTCAAATTCAGTCTCAGCAGATTCTACGACAGGCTCAGCAAGTTCACATCCAGCAGCAAATTCAGCAGCAAGTTCAACTTCAGCAACTGCAGCAAGTTCAACTTCAGCAGCAGCAGCAGCAGCAACAACAACAACAAGAGGTCCAATTGCAAGCCCAACCGCAAGTCCAATCACAAGCTCAGCATCAGCCAATTCAACAACAATTAGTTCAGTTCCGAGCCCAACAAATCCCACCTACTCAACAATCTATCCCTAAAGTGCAGCAGCCTGTTCAGTCTAATAACGGGCAGGCTAAACAAAGTCTAGAACAACACACACTTCCTTCAATTAATCAATCATTAACTCAGTCCACGTCTACCCAGACAATGGTAAATGGACAGAGTACGTCTGTAATCCCACCTCAAAATGCACTGAAAGTACGACCAATGGGCATGAGGTAAGTCAATAAGTGTGTATTATTTTGAATCTATCTAGACTAAAAGCTCTTATCTAACTAGAAATTGTAATGTCTCTATAAATCTGTTTCTTTATGTTATCAGTGGTCACTCAAGTACTTCAAGTCAGACTAAAGCAAGATTGCGAAACACTTATTCTGGACCGAGACAAAGGAAACCGTCAGATATTCGAATTGTGTCTTGCCAGACTGCCCCAGGTTCACAACAAATGTAATAAGTTGATCATTTTCTTTATTTTTTATGGTGAAATCCAAAATTCTGACTATTTATAAAAACTATCAATTAAATCAAGGGTTATTCAAACCAATTTACCAACCCTAGGTATAGCCAGTTTTTACAGCTGATTTGGTTGTTGCTGACAGTTTGGCAAAATCGATTAATGCTATAGAAATGAAATCATTGGTCTTAAGGTGATTGATGATGGGACATAGAACTTTGTACTTCTGCATATCCACTGTGGGCAATGACTGTCGGAAGGGCCATTGTAATAACAAGGGCTCTTGGTAGTTCACTCTGGACCATCCAAATAAAACAAATCCCAAACCCTCCTCCACCCCCTTAAATTAAATTAGATAACCAAGAACAAGAAATCTCTTACCTTGAAGCCCACTGATTCAGTTGCATTAGGAAGTATACAGTCCAACCCGGAAATAGCGATACCCGGATAGAGTGTTGCAAATCCTATTGGCGGGTCATAACAATCCCATTTCAAAACAACCTGCTTATAACTTTGCAATCATGATTTCTCGAGGTGCAACGCAATATCTGGGTTTGACTGTATGGTCACCTGAATCTAGGAGCAATCTAGGAGCAAGATCTCTAAAAGATCTTGGAAAGGTGGAATTGGATCCTTAATTTAATTGGATATTCCTTGGTTTTGCAAGACTTGGGTTTGACCATAACACTTTTACTTTTCTCATAACATAGTCTATTTATATTTATATCTTGTTTTTGCCCTTCTGTTCAGTTCTCAAGTTATTTCTGAAAATGACCTACATTCTCTTTTGAAACGAGTAAGTTAATTTTCACTTTTAACCAGGGTTTTTCTTTCTTTTATACTACAGTGTACATTAATATTCATTTGAAATGATCCAAAACCTTTACTATCTGTCTATCTTGTTTCAGTTTGGGACTGCAAAAGGAAGAATTGTGCATTATACTACTGAAGGTGGGGGTCACAATTTTATGTTGCAACAACTACCTCAGGCATCAGAAGTTCATCAGGTTTGTTTTCATCAATTTTTTTGTCAGAATACCAATTACTATGCTATTATGTTTGTCCATGGACTATTTCAAACTTTATTAAATTTGCAGGTTAGCCCTGAGACTTCAACTGACCAGGAGGAAGAACAAATAACTGTTTATGATGGGTTAGTATTTCTGTATGTTTTAACGATAGCAGTAAATGTGTGGATTCTGATGTTTTCTTTTGTCTCACCTGTAGAGTTAATGTGGAGAACGCATTTCCAACTGGAGTACCTCAGGAGTGTGTGGTTTCTGAATCTGGAGAACTCTTGTTTGCTGACAATACAAATGTTAAAATTGAGCCCATGTAGGTATACATTTGAGATTCCTTGTTCCTTCTTTTAAAAATAATCACATGATATGATACCTAATTTTTTACAGGATGGATGGCTGTGATGCCAACAGTGACCCCTTAGATACTGGTACAACTGAAAACTCCATGTGAGTAATCAATATTACGGCATTTACTACATGTCTGCAAAGCACCTGTGCTTTTGTGGTTGGACTACCACTAAGTTTAGCATTCAACTGTAGCTCTGCGTATCTCTCTTTGCCTTTCTCCCTCTTTTTTTTTCTCCCTCCCTTCCCTTCTCCCTCTCTTTCTTTACCTTCTGTGACATCTGGTTAAATGTGACAAATCTGCTGCTCCTTGAGACAGTCTTACTTTGGCTAAGGTAGTGCATTGGGCTGCATTGACATAGGCTCAAGGATTAAGTCTCTTGTTGCATTTTATTTTAGTTCAGTGTAGTGGAACATTTAGCTCAAGCTGGGATGGTGATTCTGTGTTTTAAAGTTAGCCAGGATTATGTTTTGAATGAACCAAAGCATCTAATCTTGTATGGTTGTAAATGTTCAACTTTTAACTTCCTAGCCTGCCTTGTATCTCAATACTAGTCTCTAGAACACTAAACCTTATCCTTGGTCTGATTCATTACTTCCAGGTCTAAAGAATCAACTGATACTGGCTGCCTATCTTCCTCAAGTTCAAGTACAAAAAATATAGAGACAGAGGTAAACCTATTTTAAAATGAATTTCTTAGTTTGCTCAACTGATCCTGGTCTGAAGTTACAGATAGGGCGTTTTTTTTTATATCAGTTTAAACTTTACTTTCATGTTCTGTTTTTGTAGCTGTTGAAGGTCATTCCTGGAAAGGCGGCCGTATGTGTGTTTTGTGGGAATACCTCAATAATATTGAACAAGTGCGATTTCTGTAAGCGCACACTACCAGATACTGTAAAAATAGTGCTGGATGGAAATGCAAAGAAAAATACTGTGCATTCAGCATTACCAGCTCCCATTGGTGCAAATGTTCTGGTCAGAAAGGGGCTAACCATACAAACCGAGGTAAGTTGAGAGCAATAAGGAGTTTCTCTAGCCAAATTATAATATTTTCTAAATCTGTGAACTGAGACTGTCGGCTAAGTTTTGCTTACGTCATTATCCTTGCCAGCCAAAGTAGTTTGGGGAAGGGAATTGAGTAATTTTGTCAGCTTGTCAAGACATTTAAATTTAACAGTCCCTGTTAAAGGTTGATGTACACCCTACTGTTGCTGTTGCATTGTAGTAAGTAATTTAGTGCAGGGAACAGTTTTAAATTGTATCTGGATGAAGCCTCTTTTTTCACAGCCAAAGTCATAATTTTGAAAGATGCCAATTTTGAATTATTTTCTTGTATTTTTGTTGTGAGGCAGAACAACATTTCTTTGTGCCTGCTCATTATTGAAGTAGTATGAAATGCAGTGATATGGTGGTCTTGCAGGATGGATGAAAGAATGTTTTGTGACAGCGTGCTTCGGTTCTGTGCATTTTGAACATTTATTGTATTGTATGTGAATTTGAATGTCGCCCTCTTTCCCTGCACCCCGCACGTATGCTTACTTTCAAGATGATGCCGGAAAGTCCCAGATTGTATCATTGTATGCCTTTCTTTTCAGACCTTCCCAATTCATACCCAGCAAATCTTGTTCACTTGTTCCCGCGGGAACACTGGACAGTACAAATTTTATATTTAGTGAGTTCGTCAATATTCCCTAAGCGCCTAGCGCTCAGCCAACATAAAGGCCCTTGTTTAAATCATATTTTCTAAAATAATAGATAGCCCTCCTTACCGGATCCGTACATTGCATGTTGCATATCCGGTTGGGTCTCCGTCTGACCGCAAGGCAGTGCGGCAACACTGGTATGAATCTCGCGAACTTCGGTATCAAATGTTTCTACTTATCTTTCTTTATTAATGAATGACTAGTTAGGGACTTGTTAGTATATTCGTGACCGCGGAAAATTTTCAGACATTTTCCATTATGTTTGATAGAATTTGTGATTATGGAACCAGTAGGTGTTAAGAAATTTTATGGTATCACGAGCAGTCCTGCCGTGCGCAGGTTTCGGCTGCAGAATGCGCATGTGAGTTGAGGATTCGTGAACGTTGAGCCGATGTTATTTTAGTAACAGATTCTTTTACCTTTCCGCTTCTAATTATTTTGTGTATTTCTTCGTTTTCTTGTAACGTTTATTTTGTTGACGATTGAGGTTAGTCGGCTCATAAGTTCTGTGCTCTATATATTGGAAATGTGTCCTTAGCAGCTCCCAATTCGCCTTCTCAGATGTTAAAGAGCTCGTAATAGAAAATGCTCATCATAATAAAGTTTTGTTATCTATTGCCTAGTAGTGCATTATCTATATTCCCGCACAGCTTTTCAGTGTGCTCCTTGCGGTGCCCATTGATCTTATAATTGTGTTATAACATTTCAATGAACTCATTTGTTGATTGTGCAATGTCTGAGATTGAGATTGTTCCATTTGTCAATGTCTGTTTTATTAAATGTGCATATTTTGTTTCAGAAAATTCATGGAAAACCTCCTCCAAGGTCTCTGAACCCAATTCCAAACTTGTCAAGTCTTGACACTAAGCGAAAACGGTGCAGTACGCCCCGCAAACCTAAGGTGAAAGTTCCAGAAGAACCAGGTGAGATTCATTGTGATAGTTCAGCAATACTATTTACATACTCTCTGATGTGAGTTCAGCTTTGAGTTGTATCCCTCTTAATAATCTTTTATATCTCTAGAAATTCTTACCTTGTCGTCTGATGATGAGGATAAACAAGTGGTGAAACCAAATAAGAAAGTGGATCGGGAAAGTGAGCTCCTAGCCAATGGTTCATTTAGCGGTGTAGGCTTGGAACCTGGAACAGAGGTAGCTTCTGCCATGGATGCAGCTAATAATGCTGAAGAGTCAAGGCAAAACTCAGTTGGTGTGCAAGGTAATTTCTAATATGAGCACATATTGCTTTAATAATCACGAGTGCTTTTGTTGAACTGTCTCATTCTGTACCTGCTTGCACTTGCAGCTGGTGGTTTGTTGGAACAAGCAGTGGAAGGTTCCATGTCATCTCCATTCTTTCTCATAGTATGCAGAACAATACGAATAGGTACTTTCAGAGTTAAGCCTTCTGAAAGAGTTGTAATTTCTTCCCAGGGATTAGAAATTAAGGTTCCTTTACAAGCTGGTGAGTCATCTTAACCATTAACTGACACTCAAACCTGTCTCTTCTTGTTTGGTAATTGTTATCTAATAATATTGTCTATTTTATCTATGTAGGCCCTGAGGTCACAATAAATGTGCCGATGAGCTATATTGAGCGAGTTTTAGTATCTTTCTGCCGTTCTATGCCTGTGCTCTTCCTGTACCTGAAAAGAGAGGGGGGTGTTTTAGTTAGACAAATTTTAAACATGAAGGACCCTAAATCATCTTATTATTTTGATCCTCAGTCTTCTGGTAAGGTTCTATTTCAGGTTTTTCTGTAACTCACCAATTTAGCATGAAGCATTATAAGAAAACTTTTTTTAACAGATGACACTCAGAAAAGAATTACAATACTTCCCGAGAAAATAACCGAAGATCAAAAGAGGGAACTGAAAAGAATATTCGATGGAAATAAAGTACTTCTAACTGAAATTGAGAATAGCCTGGCCAATGACATTCTAGTTAGGTCTTCACCACCTGAAGTAAGACTAAGGTTAAGTTTACCTGGGAATGAAATTCAAACGTAAGTACCTCTTTGTAGTATTTCTTTTTCTTTTTTACAACTATTTTGTATTTTTGGTTGAAGAGAGCAATTTTGTCTTTCATGAAAATATGATATTTGTTATCCTTTTTCTAGTATAATGGTGTACCCACCTCCACCTGCTAAAGGTGGAATCTCAATAAACACAGAAGATTATGCTTGTCTTGGTGAAGACCAATTTTTGAATGATGTGATCATTGACTTTTACCTTAAGTAAGTATGCTTTCACTTTTCACTGTGCTCTTAACATTTAATTTTTGAATCATTTGTTATTATTGCTGTGTTTTGTTCACTCCAGGTATCTTATGCAATGTGTACTCTCTGAAGAAGATAGAGAGCGGACACATGTTTTCTCCACCTTCTTTTATAAACGACTAACTTGTAAGCCTAAAAAGGGTCGACGTCATCCTGTTGAAGATGATCCTAACTTAACTCCGGCCCAGAAAAGGCATGCTCGTGTGAAAGGCTGGACTAAAAGTGTTAATCTTTTTTCCAAAGATTTTATAATTATTCCGATCAATGAAAAGTAAGTTTGAAGCAAGTTATATGCATTAAGAGCATAAATTTTCTTAGCCTTCTCTTTCAATCGTCTCGTAACCACTATCCTGTATTATCATTTCTTTGAATTGTATATGTTGTGCTGTTATCACTGTTTCTTTGAATATTTACCGTACTTTCCGCCATTTAAGCCGACACCGCTGAACCCCGTTTCTCGAGGTGTTCAAATGGTATATTGGATGTTTTCTATTCGGCATTTAAGTCGAGTTATGGTTTTGATGCCCTTGAAACTGGTTAGAAAAGGTCGGCTTATACGGTGGAAAGTAGGTGTGTACTTGTATGTATTATGCACCTAACTAATTTCTCTTATTTTTACAACTATTAATTAGTTGCCACTGGTTCTTGGCAATCATTTGCTATCCTGGACAAGATGGCTGTTTGAGAATGAGTGATAACACTCCAATTGACTTACCAAAGCCTCCATCAACAACAGTTGCTGCAGCAGTAGCGGCGGCTGCTGCTGCTGCAACAACACACTCCAAGCTGAAAGGTTCAGTACTATACTTTTCCAAAATGGACATCATTAAATATGCAACATCACAATTTTTAATTACCTTTAATCCTTATTGCAGTGAAAGATAATGTTATGTCTATTGGCTCAACAACAATCACACCTGTTAGAGCTACCCCTGCCGCAACAATTACATTAGATCAGAATGGTGAAGAGGGATCTGACAGAGATGAAGCGGAAGGGGACGAGGAAGAAATGAATGAAAACTCTGATGAGGAGGTTTGTGGAAAAGGCCAGTGATATTGTCATATTCTGTCCCATTGGTTCAACTTCAACTAATTGATTGTCCCTTTGTAGGATTCTGGTCATGTTACTGAAGACAGTAATGGCTCTAAAGACATGGGAAGCAGCATTGAGGGGAGTGCCGTGGCGTCCTCGGGTACCCCGCCTCCATCGAGTACCCTGCTTTCTGTGGGTACCCTGCCTGTGGCCAATAGTAATCCTTTACCAAAGAGAGGAAAACCTGTTGTGAGGGAAGGAATTAAACAGTAAGTTCGCAGTTGTAAATACTGTACCCTCACTTAACTGGTTAATTTGATTAAATTTCTTATAATTCCATCCTAGTTTTCTATTTTTGTTTCTGGCCTCTATTGAAACTGTTTCCATATTATTTCAGACCATGTATTCTTATCTTCGATTCTTTGGTTGGTGCTCCTCGCTACAGAGTAGCTGCAACTCTAAGGGAGTATTTAAGTATTGAGTATAAAGTTAAAGAGAAGAAAGATAAGGAATTTTCTAAGGATACAATCAAAGGTATGCTTCCTAAAGTACCTCAACAAACCAACTTCACTGACTGTGGATTGTATTTGCTACAGTATGCAGAAATGTTTTTCAAGGTTTGTTGAAAATATATGAAAATTGATATATTTTCCTTTCCCTATTGGATATTTATTTATTTATTTTTTCTTCATGTGACCTTTAGGATCCCATCAGGGATTACCATGCTCCAATCAAACAGCTAAACAATTGGTTTCCTGAGGAGGTTGTATCAAGAAAGCGGGAGGATATTGTTAATCTTCTTAAAGATCTCATGAGAGAACAAAATATAGATCCTAACTCAATTAAGTTGCCACAGCTTACTTTCAACTACTCCACTCAATCAACATCTCAACAGACCGAAGACGAAGAAGCCCAAGCCCGTCTAACAGCAGCAGATTCAGAAGCTGATGATCAGGCTAGTCAGGTATGTCATAAATTTAAAAATAACTTTTTCCTTCTTCTTGTTTGTTTGATTACATGAAGAAATGTCTGGTATAGAATTTATTTGACAAAATATTCTCTCACCCTTTCCCAGGCTTCCAATTTGACTCCAATGGAAGATATGAACTGTGAAAATGAAGTTACCGTTCCTCATTCAACCACGGAAGAGGTCAGTTCATCAAAGTCTGAAAATGTAGAATGTGGTGCCATTAACAATGGGAAAAGCACTGAACCGCTTAGTTCTCCTCGACTGAATCAGTCTCTTGTTGACTATTCGGAATCATCCAATGACAGTAGCAGCGATAATTCCGTTATGAAACGTTCACAAAGTGAAGTGGATGCAGAAGATATTATTGAAAAGAAAAAAAGGAAAGCAGATTGATTGTTATTTATTTTTATTAAGTGTTAAATTTAATTGTTAAGGTTTTGTATCTGTATCTCTTACATCCCATTGTCATTATTTCATCATTGTCAATATTTTAGTTTTAGTGGGTCATGCTACAATTTACTTATCTGTCTTGTTCCCATTATTTGCTGGTTTAGTCTATTGGCTGTTTCAGAGGGAAGTTCCTTGGAATAGCTGTTGTTGAAAGTTATCCCCTGCACTTTCTCTCTGTCAATCCATGTACATAGGTACTGTCATGGTTCTAAATTCGTTTAAATTCTTTACATTAGTTTGTTGTAAAGTGAAAATATTCTAGTAGGAAAACAAAAGATTATAGCTGATTTTTTTTATTGAAATAGACTGGAAAGGAAGAGGATTTGCAAATTCCAAAGACTGCTCATTCAGTATATTGTCTCTGTTGAATTTTGTGTGTCCCACAATAGTTGAGCTCTCTTCTAGTTCTCATCAATGTGAAGCCAAAGTATTGTGGGGGACAGTCTAATCTCGGAGTATGTACACTGTATTCTTAATTAGTAAAAGTTTTGGAAACTTATTTATAAAATTGAGATAACTGATTTAAAAACGTTATTTGTTTGTTTCCTTTGTACCTCTTCTACGTCATGAAGTTTTACATCCCATTCAAACTTCTGAACTGTTCAGCCATTTTTATTTCATTGCAGTGATTTTCTATTAAACTCAGTGCTTTTCCTGTACCTTTAAATGTATTTTAAATGTGTGATTCTGTTAACCTTGATCGTCAGTGAACAGACAAACTGTTCGTTAGTGCTACTGTGAACCATAGATATTGCAAATTAAAATTCTCGCAGCTCTTGAAAGGATATTTTCACTACTGTTCTCAATTTGACCTTTAAGTGCTGGCTTCGATGGCAAGATTCAAGACTGGTGCTGTGTGCCTCTGTCTGGGTAATCTTGTTTTTGTTTTTGTCTTGAGCCCACTAGGCTATTTATATTATGTCTGTGATAATAAGGGAAGCAATTTCTCTGCTTTCATGTAGTGTGAGCGTGTTGTAAGGTTTTGATTCTTATTTTTTGAAGTTTGAATCTACCAATGTGTAGTGAAGGCTGACTGAAATTTTGAAATTTAAAAAAAAAAAGGGATTTCATATTGTCCAGACAAGTTACAGCAATAAGTAAGTGAATTACTTTTGCATATGTAAATACTTTTAGGTTGTAAATACATTTTTCATATACTA